TATCTGTCACACTCGCGTGAACATAAACTCCCCATAGTGAAACATGGTGGTGTTATCATTATGCTGTGTGGATACTCCTCATTAGCAGAGATGGGGAATTTTGTTTATGTTTTATAGAAGGATGGATCGAGATAAATTCCGATAAATACTGTAAGAAAACCTGTCAGAGGTCATAGAAGACTCGAGACTGGGCTTGGTTCCAGGTCCAATAGATTTAGAAAATCCTTTCAAACCACAAGTTTAATTTAGATGCTGTAAAAAAAGCGACATAAAATAAATCAACGTAGGTCATAAAACAGATAACCCCTCTTCTACTCTTTCTGCACTTCCCTGTCTCTCTCTTTGCTGTCACCACTGATTCAGACTAGGGATTTTCCTCTAGAGAACCTACAGTCATATTGATCATAACCGTAACATTGTGTCCACTTTGTAAGTCGCTTTGGATAAAAGCATTTCCTAAATGCATAAATATAAACAGATGGTCAAATGCATAAATGGCAGATTTTAAAGGAGGATGTCCTCTCACACCAGCCTAAAAGCTATTGGGAAAGGAGGTGCAAAAAAACACCAAAAAACTTGTGTTTATACCCTTAAAGGTAATGCCTGTGGTCTAAGAGGCAAAGTAATCCTGTGTGGAATGGTATGGATGAGATTATATCCCTGAATGATGCAGTCAACGACCAGATTGGAGTAAAATTAGGACTTTACTGCAGAGCTGCAAGAGAATCATTCTTCACAGACGTTAATTTTGTAAAAAGATGAATAGACACATTGTTAATGCGGAAGAGACACACCCCAGAAAGGCTTTAGGGTGTTTGTTCAGTGAATGATGGGCTGTAAGGGTATTAAGTCAGGAGCGCTGAATGCAATCAACAAATTCATATGTTCATCAGGAATGGGACATTTGGATCTCTAAATGTGGTCACACGCTATGCAAATTTTATTTATTTATTTTATTTATTTATCCTTTACTTAACCAGGTAATACCCATTGAGATTAAAAATCTCTTTTGCAAGGGAGACCTGGCAAAGATAGGCATCAAAATTACATCACATCATTACACACGTACAAAGACACACACATAAAAGCCAAATATGCACTTACAATAAAATTTCAATTAAAACATTGACATGTGAGGGAGTCCAACTCAAAACATCTAATTTTCAGCTTAAAAGTATTCAAAGGAACCAATTTACTAAGTTTCAAGTTATTTTGCAGCAAATTCCATGTAAAGGGAGCAGAGTAAGCAAAGGCCTTTTTACCCAGCTCAGTACTGACACTAAATGTGGAAAAGGTCAATGTTTCAATGTATTTGAAAAACATATCCCTTTTCAATACTTATAATATATCAGAGGTATTTTGATTATTCAGTTTGCTTTTTTTAAAATTAAATTGTGGCACTTTTGGAGCTCCGCTTAACAAAAAATGATAGGATAATAGTTATGTTTTAATAGTATAATTTACTGTAATAGAATGGCGACCAGTCCAGGGTGGTCCCCACCTCTCACTCTTATACAGCTGGAGAAAAGGCACCAGCACACCTTGCAATTCCAGCTGGGATAAAGCGTGACAGAAAATGGATGGATGGATGGATGGATGGATGGTACAATTTACAGTTACTGTAGTACTTTTATTTGTTTTTAAAACTCTTAATGGCCTTCCCCCTCCTTATCTGTCTGAGCTGTTACATTCTTACACACCCTCCCGTTCCCTCAGGTCAGCTGATCCGTTGCTTCTGAGGGTCCCAAAGACAAAATGCAAGCTCAGAGGAGACCGTGCTTTTTCTGTGGCAGCTCCTAAGCTATGGAATGATCTGCCTCTGAGCATAAGACAGGCCTCTTCTCTTGCTGTTTTTAATTCCCTTCTTAAGACTCATCTTTTTTCCTTGGCTTTTGGCACAATTTGAGAGGTTTTACTTTGTTTTATTCTGTTTTTAAGTATTCTACACTCGTTCTTTTTCCTATTTTATAATTTTATTGTATTTTATGATTGTGTACAGCACTTTGGTCCTGTCCGGTGCATAAAGTGCTTCATAAATAAAGTTGGTATGGTATGGTACATAAACAATAGGTAGGCTGATATGATCTGGGCAAATTGTCCTACTTACCTGTATAATTCACTTACAGGTGCTGGTCATAAAATTAGAATATCATGAAAAAGTAGATTGATTTCAGTAATTCCATTTAAAAAGTGAAACTTGTATATTATATTCATACATTACATACAAACTCATATATTTCAGATGTTTATTTTGTTTTATTTTGATGATTACAAATGACAACAAATGAAAATCTCAAATTCATCATATCAGAAAATTAGAATATTACTGAAGACCAATAAAAACAAAGGATTTATAGAAATGTTGGCCAACTGAAAAGTATGAACATGAAAAGTATGAGCATGTACAGCACTCAGTATTTAATTGGGCCTCCTTTGGCCTGTATTACTGCAGCAATGCAGCGTGGCATGGAGTCGATCAGTCTGTGGCACTGCTCAGGTGTTATGATAGCCCAGGTTGCTCTAATAGTGGCTTTTAGCTCTTCTGAATTGTTGGGTCTGGTGTATTGCATCTTCTTCTTCACAATACCCCATAGATTTTCTATGGGGTTAAGGTCAGGAGAGTTTGCTGGCCAATTAAGAACAGGGATACCATGGTCCTTCAACCAGGTACTGGTAGCTTTGGCACTGTGTGCAGGTGCCAAGTCCTGTTGGAAAATGAAATCTGCATCTCCAAAAAGTTGGTCAGCTGCAGGAAGCATGAAGTGCTCTAAAACTTCCTGGTATGTGGCTGCGTTGACCCTGGACCTCAGAAAACACAATGGACCAACACCAGCAGATGACATGGCACCCCAAACCATCACTGACTGTGGAAACTTTACACTGGACTTCAAGCAACGTGGATGAAGTGCCTCTCTTCTTTTCCTCCAGACTCTGGGATCTTGATTTCCAAAGGAAATGCAAAATTTACTTTCATCAGAGAACATGACTTTGGACCACTCACCAGCAGTCCAGTCCTGTTTCTCTTTAGCCCAGGCAAGACGCTTCTGACGCTGTCTGTGGTTCAAGAGTGGCTTGACACAAGGAATGCGACAGCAGAAACCCATGTCTTTCATACGTCTGTGTGTGGTGGTTCTTGAAGCACTCACTCCAGCTGCAGTCCACTCTTTGTGAATCTCCCCCACATTTTTGAATGGGTTTTGTTTCACAATCCTCTCCAGGGTGCGGTTATCTCTCTTGCTTGTACACTTTTTTCGACCACATCTTTTCCTTCCCTTCGCCTCTCTATTAATGTGCTTGGACACTGAGCTCTGTGAACAGCCAGCCTCTTTAGCGATGACCTTTTGTGTCTTGCCCTCCTTGTGCAAGGTGTCGATGGTCGTCTTTTGGACAACTGTCAAGTCAGCAGTCTTCCCCATGATTGTGTAGCCTATAGAACTAGACTGAAAGACCATTTAAAGGCTTTTGCAGGTGGTTTGAGTTAATTAGCTGATTAGAGTGTGGCACCAGGGGCCATCAATTTTGAACCTTTTCACAATATTCTAATTTTCTGATATGATGAATTTGAGATTTTCATTTGTTGTCATTTGTAATCATCAAAATTAAACAAAATAAACATCTGAAATATATGAGTTTGTATGTAATGTATGAATATAATATACAAGTTTCACTTTTTAAATGGAATTACTGAAATCAATCTACTTTTTCATGATATTCTAATTTTATGACCAGCACCTGTACATTACGTGGAATAAAGAAAATAATCACAAAGAAATAAATTACATGATAAAAAAAAACATGATTACCACCAATGTAAAATTGCATCCTGGCACATGGATGTTACATATGGATAAATTAAGTCAATAGTGTTAGAACCAATTAAATTCTATTCACTTTATTTCTATAGCGTCAATTCACAACACATGTCATCTCTTTACAGTTCAACCAGATCATCCAGTTAAATTGATTCAAAGTTTTCTATCTAAGGAAAACCAGCTGATTGCATCGACTCATTGACTCAAATACAATCCCTCACACTAAGCATGCTTGTAGCGACAGTGGAGAGGAAAAACTCCCTTTGAATTGGAAGAAACCTCCAGCAGATCCAGTGGCTGCAGAGTGAAGAGGTTTTTGATTTTTGGCTCTGATCCATTGCAGAAACAATGCCTTTAAAGTCGCATATTCATTATGCATGGTTTCCATTTGCTACCTCCCTCTTAAAGAAGCTTGTCTTTGTCCTGGGCATCTCTGAGTTGTTCTGTGACCTATTCTAGGTGTTCTTATCAAATTCTGGACATATGCATTAGGCAATGCAACCCTGGAATTTATTAGGCAAGTAGATAAATTAGACAGATTGATCTAGATATGCCTATCTGAGTAAAAAGTGATGCTTCATCTGTGCAAAGCAGAATCCTGTTTTTCTATAGCTTTCACAGCGAACTGAGTGAAACATTGCCTCTGCTGTCTCACCTTCAAATTTCTCACAAACATTAAGATATTCACTGTGTTCTGGGAAGCAGCCAGGTTGGAAAAAAAAAGAAAGCAAACACAGGGCTGCTGACGCTCAGACTCAGTTCTGCCGGGCAGAGGGAGCGGGGGCCCCGTATGAAGCCCCCCCCCCAAAAAAAAACTCTGATTTGTTTGGATATGAGAGGTTTGGCTGGAAATTAGTTCTGCAGCTCAGCTGTTTTCTGTCACTTTTCCTGCAGGAAGATCAATATTTTTCTTGAACCCTGTCCATGTGTTTCTACTAATACTTCACACCATTAGAACTGGGTTTGTATCCATCTCTGACCAATAGTCCACCTTCAAATTAATCTTAGCTGCAGTGTGTAGTGAAACACAAGCCAATCCTAAAAACAAAACCTATTAAAGGCTTCTTACTTTAGCATTCTCTGTTAAACGACTTAAAAAAAAGAATAAAATTGTGAATGATGAAAAAATAAACCTTCAGGTGATTTCTGGTCTGCTGTTTTTATTCTCAGACCTGAAAGTCCCTCTCTCCCACCCCTGATGAGTACTCAGGGTTGCTCCCGGCTCTCCTGCCCACCTCTAATCCATGCCGCACTCATCTCGGTCCCTCCTGCTTTTCTTTCACCGCTGGTTTCACTGAACACATCAGACAACGAGTTAAAAATGTCCTGGACGTTTGCAACGCTCCTGACTCTCCTTGCAGTGCTGCTTGCACTGAACTGTGAGTCTAATGCTTTCATATGCATCTATATATGAAATGTTATGTACTATTAACTGTTTTAAGTACTGCACTCTTTGTTTTTGATTTTACTTTTCTCATTTTTGTCTCCAAACTCAGTGTCTCCCGAGGCTGAATCTGCAGCTGTGGGCAGCAACACAGGAAGTGTAAAAAGTCCAGCAGGTGTGGAGCACATATTTAACTGCTGTGCATCATATTGTTTTATCCTTCAGCTCTAAAAAAAAAAACCCAACCTGCTCCCCCCACAGGTCCGCTGAGGGGGATCTTCATGAAAGAAACCGATGCCTCCAGTTTCTTCAGAAAACGCAGCAAACGGGGCATAAAATCCCAGCATGAGATCAACGGTGAGTTTATGGTGGATTGAACGATGTGGTTTGATCAGAGATGCTGTGGCTGTTACTGCGTTTAAGTGGTTAAGGTGGCAATCTGTGTGTTACCATGAAGAAGAACAGCTTTACAGGGGAGGAACTCAAACCTGCACAACTGTTTACCCAGTTAAATATATTCTAAATTCAATGCAGTTTAGAGACCAGATAAGAATCCTGCACAAGAATGTTTTCTAAACATAAATTATTACTCTTAAAAACATTCATTATATCTTGAAATGTGTGCAATAACCACTGGGCTATACTGTTCTCAACATATTAGAATCCTTTGCATACTGAGCTACAATATACTGTATGCTTCGTGCATTAGATGCACATTTTGGGGTGAATTAGGAACATTAGATATTATGCAAATGGAAAATATCTGCAGCATGCATAAGACCTGAAACTTAACGTAAAGGTATGTCTGATATGTTGCTTCATTTCTAAGAAGAGAGGAGAAATCATCAACTCATAATAAATTTAGATATTCATTTAAATCTCTAGTAATATAAGAAACAAGCTCCTGTGCACCGCAAAAAATGGAAATCTAAATAAGTAATTTTTGCTCAAATTAAGTGCATTTTTTTCATGAATTGAGGAGGTAAGTGAGACACTTTGCCAATGGAACAAGACAATTTATATTTAAAATAAGAAAAAAACTATTGCTTTTTCTTATTTCAAGTGTATATTATCTAATTATCTTATTTTAGGAGGAAAAATACTCATTCCATTGGCAGATCATCTCATTTGGCTGCTCAAATTAAGAGTAAATACACTTAATTTAAGACATCTTTTACTTAATTCTAGATGTGCAGTGTGATGCTTGCGATGTTCTGCCCGTTTCGGACCCTATTTTCTGGACTTTGACCGACCGCAGACCATAGAAGTGTTCGTCTGCTGCGGCAGGAGTCACAGGACAGCATGGTGCTCCCAGAGCCACACCACTACAAGCACCCACTCACTGTATAGTGATTGATGGTTGCAGGATAGTGAAGGGATTGATGCTGTGTAACATGTTGTGCTTCTGCCAACAAGGTGAAATGTTCTGCAGGTTAAAGAGCAAGAAAAGCAAAGCTGGGAACGGAGAGTTCTGAGTGGGTAGGTGGGAGACGTATGAGGAATATGCAGCCATGTTAGCAGAGAGGGGTCAGAAAAATATTATATAGACGAGACAAACGGGCTGCTTAGAGACAAACAGGCTTTTAAAATCTTTACTGCATTCCATTTAAAAAAAAACATTAATACTAATTATATTATTGATGATAAAAGCCTAAATCTGTAAATGTTTAATGTTCTGATTTATTTCTATCTGACATCTCTGAATGTGCTGCAGCTCCCAGTGAAAGCACAAATGTGAGCACTGAAGTCTGAACAGGTCAGGGGTCGTGACCTTTCTTTGAAAAGGTTGGCGCTGCAATCCTAAACTCAAAGCCGATGTCTTTACTGATATCGCAGACGGTGTGGAAGTTACACCGACAGACAGAAATACAATCCTGTGGAAAAAAAAGAAAAGGTTTCCTCTATTTTCCTTTTTGACAATTTAACTTTAGACATCAACAAATAGGATTCAATATAAAACAGAAAAAAAACAGGAAAAGGTTTAATAGAACCTGATTAGGTGAAAAAGAATAAAGATCCAAAAACTAACAATCAGGACCTTCTCTAAAATAACAGATGGGTGATTAATTAATAGACCTGTATCAGTCTAGATCCAATAACTATAGGCAAATCAAAAAGCCTAACAAAAAATAATAAAATAATGTATTTTCACTGGAAAAATGATAGAAATAAGTAAAAATTTCTTAAATTAAGTGTATTTACCCTTGATTTGAGTAGGTAAATTAGATACTTTGCCAATGGAATGAGTATTTTCAATCTTCAAATAAGATAATTTGATAATATGGCCTAGAAATAAAACAATCCAATTGTGTTTTCTTATTTTAAATTATCTTGTTCCATTGGCAAAATGACTCTTCCGTCTCCTCAATTCAAGAACAAATTCACTTATGTTAAGAATAAATTGACTTATCTAGATTTCGATTTTTTTTCCAGTGTTATAATAGGATAATTTACAGTTACTGAAGTACATTAACAATAATTGGGATTCTTTTTCACAATCCTAACTTTATTTGACTAGATAATAATGAAAAAATAAGTAAATTTTTAATCGTCTTATTTATTGTCATAAAATGTCATAATTAACATTAAAAAGGCCTGAAAACATCACCCTGCATGTAAATGTACAGAGATCATCCCCTTCTTTACTATTTTCCAATTTTGTTAGAATCAGAAAATTCAAAGCATCTAACGGCCATTTTAAAACACAAATCAGTGCATATTAGCTTAATGAGAATAGAAGAATTAAAAGTCTAATAATGAATTTAAAAATTCAAGTCTAGTAAACATGTGAAATGAATTTGTATTCAACTCTATCAACACTAAACAGCTTAATTTCCCCTTCAGCAGATCAAAAATGTAACATTTGATCTCAAATGTTCAGAGCATATTTGCTGTAGTTCCAGTGTATCTTCTAGGACTACAACTTTTGTTTGATTTGTTTATTTATTTTTACTATTTTTTTCCATGAAAATAAGATTTGCAGTAAGCGTTAAATGTGCCTCAACATGCCTGTGAACTTTTGCAACATTAATTTGTTGTATTTCTGAGGGAAATATTTCCTTTTGACATCATTCACAGAGAAGAATTTCCGAAAAGTCGCATTTAATCTGATTCTTTATCTTATCGGAAAAAGAAAAAAATATGCTTTTGCACCTTGTCTCGTTGAACAACAGGCTGTTACTAAAAAAAAAAAAAAAATGACACAGCCCTTGAATCTAAAATACAGGTAACATTTAACCTGTCATGATTTTGGTCTGTGGAGTACCCAGAGAGAACCCATACATGCAAGGAGAGAACATGCAAACTCCATGCAGAAAGACCCCAGGCCAGGAACCAAACCCAGAACCTTCTTTCTGCAAGGCAACAGTGCTACAAACTGCACCACCGTGCAGCCCAACTGCCTATTTGGTTCATTTCTTCCATGATGTGTTTGCAGCTGAGCAAATGCAAGTTTTGGCTGCAGACGAGCGAAGGAGGGAGTTTCATGAGGACAAGAGGAGTAAGTTTGAGAGCTACGCTGAGGAGGATAATGATGGTATGTGAAGCCTGCAGAAAAGAGGAAAAATGGGGAATTTAGACATTTTTTTCAGCTTATCTTTCTTATCCTGATCTCTTCAGAGCAAAATGAGAGAACAAGAGAGAGCACCGAGCAGTGGAGGGAGTTCCACCATGATGGGATGAATCCTCCCTATGAGTACAACCGTCACACTGTCTGAGAACCGAACAGGAAGAGACCTCAACAGCTGCCAAACCTGGAGAAATAAAGCTGCAGTAAATATGCTTTGCTCTCCTGAAAACATGAATTTTATTAGTCTGAGGATATGAAACAAACGTCTTCTCCAGTTTTAAATGCAGTTTTCCTTTTACAGTTCAATTATATTCATGTAGGGATTGATCAAACCAGATCAGACCCATGATATAGATATTTGTATTGTCAAATATGCTAGATATCAATCAGATTGTTTAATAATGCCAGAAAGTATTCAAAAGAGTAAAACCCAAATTAATTTGAATTTATAGTATTTTTAACTGTGTTCAAATTTGATCTATGACAGTAAAATAAACCTATCCATAAATATCTTATCATTTATTTATCATGGTGTAAACTATGAGGAATTGGACTCTAAACCATCACACTACCACCTTCATGCCTCCAGATGACATTTTAGGCATCTTATTAGCATGAATCAAGTGTTTTACACAAGTGATTGCGTAGTATAATATACAAACAGGATTGTGTTATTTTTCTCAGCTAATGGCAGGGGTTAAAGGTATAGTGGAGGATTTTTGCAAATTTTTGAAAAGACCCGCCCTCTCCTTTTAAAAAAAAATGCATATGCACAACCCTGTACATGCTCCTGAGAGGAACCGTCTATTAAACGCGTGCGAGAGCGTGCACTAGCCCGTTTCTCCTCGTGCACCCCCTGTTGAAAAGGACCAGTTGATGATCCAGCCAGATAAAGAACATCCTCAACTATTCCTTTAATACTCCGTACTCTGTAGCATAGTTTACATCAGAGATGGGAAGTAACGAAGTACAAATACTTCGTTACTGTACTCAAGTAGATTTTTCTGATATTTTTACTTTACTTTACTACCTATTTCAATGGCGACTTTTTACTTCTACTCCTTACATTTTTACACAAATATCTGTACTTTCTACTCCTTACATTTTAAAAACTTGGCTCGTTACTTTAGTTTTGAATCATTTCAATGGAGTTACCGTTATTATTTTTCACGTCATCAATACCAAATTCAATCTAATTGGATGGGAATCTACGTTGCATTTGACGCACCACTACAAGATGAATCGACAGATTCGGCGGTATTCATTGGCGGCAAATCATTGCAGCTTGGTGGCGGTGGCGTTAGCATAGTAGCATGGACGACGAGATGATTGAAAATGAACACAACGGAGATCTAGTCCTATTAGCAGACATCCATTTAAAATGTAGGCAACGGCATGAAAAAAGTGGTTTCTACTTTTACTTTTATACTTTAAGTAAATTTACAAGCCTGTACTTTGTTACTTTTACTTGAGTAAAGAAGTTTAATCAGTACTTCCACTTTTACCAGAGTATTTTTTAACACAAGTATCTGTACTTTTACTCAAGTACGGAAAGTGAGTACTTTTGCCATCTCTGGTTTACATTAAACGTAAAGCTGAAAGTTATTCTAAACTAGCAAATCGTGCCTCTATTGCCTCAGTTCTGTTTTTTAGCACATAGTTTAAGCTTTTACTTTATTGTATGAAAGCATCATATCTGTTAAAAAGCTCCAATGTATTTGCCTTTCAGTGGTGTGCAAATTGTAGCTTACTTTCCTTTAAAGAGCATAAAACACAGCGGATATTAGAAAACACATTGCTGTTAAAATGGTAGGATTTTTCATATTAAAACGAGAGCTTTAAAATCATTTCAGAGCTTTTTCCATCTGTTGGAAAAATAAATAAAGATTAAATACTGTGGTTGTTGAGGGGGCAGTAGATGAGTGGATTAGTATCTATTTTTTTTGTATTTTATATACTCTAACAATCCTCAGAGGGAAATTACTTCTCTGCATTTAACCCATCCCCTTGGGGAGCAGTGTGGGGTTAAGGGTCTTGCTCAGGGACCCAGTGTGGCAGTCTGTGGGAGATTGAACTCACAACCTCAGGATTCAAAGCCCAATGCCCTAACCACTAGGCTGCCACTACCCTACTCATATTTGGAACTATACTTTGGCTAAAAACAAAACAAAATGAAAGCATGACACTGCCACCACTGTGCTTCACAATGCACGTCACATGGGTGTTAATTGATAGTTGTTTTGTCTCCAGCTGAGTTCTAAAGGACAGAGTTCTTATTAAAGGTGGAAAAACTTCTGAAATGACTTATTATACAATGTTTAAAGGGGATTTTATACTTCATATATCCTACGTATAACTCAGAATAACCTCCCCCGACGTAGCTATAGATTACAATTCTGCAATATACTCCTTTATGTCAACTTAAAAGCTTTCACTGCTTTGCTTTTTCTTTATTGTGAAACTTTATGCAACATATTAAAAAATAAACACAAAAGACTTTTGAATGTTGTAGAGTTTTTTTTGTATTTACAGTAAGCAGACTTCCAAAATCTTTGATATTCACCACGTTTGTCGATGATTAAAAGTTAGAAAACCTTAGATAATGGCCATGCACTTGTTTCTTTTCTACATTTTTTTTTTTAAATCTTGAAATTTCACATTCATGTTGAGCGATTAAAAGTTAAGTCAGAGAAAGCACAGAGAATATATAAAGATAGACCCCTTTTCTTCTCTGTGAGAGACCAGTCTTTAGAGAGCGACAGAGCAGGAGGGGGAAGAAAAAAAAAATAGTTTCTGCTAAATTCAACAGGCTGGTATGAAAGCACAGTGATTAAACACAGAAGGGCTGAACTGTTCTCAGAACAACCACTTCAGGAGCGGAAGCAGAGCACGATACTTCAACTTCACCACTGTACACTCATCTGACTCTGAAGCTTAACCAGAATACCGTCACATCTGTACGTCATTGCAGTCAGAATAACTGGTAGTTCTCCACATTTATTCAAGGTTTACCAATAAGAAACATAGTGTCAGGAAGTAAACATCTATCCCTGTGGCACAAGGGGACAAAAAGCTGTATTTGGGTGTTTCTTTTTAATTTTTTTTAACATATATAATAATTTTTTAATACATTGGACGACTCAGTTGTGATTGATCGCACAGAGGCGTTTGGTTAGATTCAAGCACATCCCTGCAGATCCCTGAGAACTCATAAAGCGCCCTCCTGTGGACAAAAGAGGACCTTACAGTCACATCAAAACCTGTTGAGTAAAACAACACTTAAAAAGTCACATCTATTAGATATGGTGCTAATGTGGCAATAACTGCAAGTCCAGTTTTAATAAACATTTACACATCTCAGCAAATTATATTCTTACAAAAAGTCATAAGAAAATAAATATTCCAATTGATAATCAATCGTTTGCACGCTCTCCCTCTATGATCACAGCCGTAACCGATGCACGTTGTCCTGCTCTGATTGGTAGCATACTAAAGAAACAAAGACACAACACTGACAGCGTACTGTTGGAAGTTATGATGCCGTGAGCCGTCACAGCGAACACCACAGCGGGTTGGAGGGGGGCCCCCCCCCCAAAACTGCAGGAAGTTCAAAGTGCAGATGATGGCACGAGTATTAACCACAGCTTGTAGCTTTACGTTTCACCTGCATAACATGACTCTACAGAACGGATCCAGGAAGGATATTTACACAAGGCATTTAGAGGAACAACCTTTTACGATCGAGACAAGCGGCGGCTTCTAGAAGGTTCTGTTCAGTCCTGTTCCTCCCACAGCGGCCGCCTGGTCCGCCTGCCAGACAAAACCGTTCGTCTCCACACAACAGCAGCTTCAGGTGAGTCTTCCCTTCCTCTGAACCTCCGGGTCTGTGTAACGATGTGAAGGGAAGCGGTGGGTGACGCACTGAGCCGTGCTAAATGAGGCTGAGCCAACGCTCCTTAAATTCCTCCCCCAAGGATTGGCATTAACAGATGGGAGGCAGCGGGATGGGCAAACTGGGCAACCACGTCGCGTCGTGAGACCTCCAGCTGTGGTCTCAAAGCTCGGTGGTCTCCCAGCTCACCTCCCGCGGAACCTGGCGTCATTTAGTCCCAGTGTGGATGACCGTGACGGTGGAGGGGCGCGGCCGAGCCGGTTCAGCCACCACCTGGGGATCCTCCAGGGCTACAGGAACATCAGAGTCCTTGTTGTGCACTTTAACAACAGATGGAAGAGGAGCTATGGGAGGACCTGTGAGGGACATTGCATGAATTAGGAACAAAAATCTATTCTTCTGACTTTAATTAACAGTTTATTTCTGGTTTCTTACATGTCCTGTAATGATTAATTTCCCCAAGCAGAGGTTTTTTTTATTTCCCCTATTGATTCAGGAATGCCAGAAGGTATTCTACAGCAGAGCTGTGGCTACTTTTAGTTCTGCATTACGGTTTAGGTTTAGCTACTTTTTTATGTGCAAGAAACAAATCCCCACAGCATTATGCTGCCACCGCCGTGTTTCGCAGAAAAGAAGACTCAAACTCAATGCGGATCCAGACATTTGAATTGAGAAAGCTTCCTGGAGAGGTAGCGAAACGTCTTCAAATCTTGGAAACCAGGTCCAGTGGATATTTTTTTTTTTTTTTTTGAATTTTTACAGAACGCAAAGAAGAAGGTGTAAGCAGCATACAGGATGTATTCCCAATGTAGAGAACTATAAACAACTATTCAATTTGCTTTTAAGAGTTTTAATATTTACTGTTTTGTCAACAAAGTTTCTTTTTTTTTTCTTTTTAACTCCTAAGCATAAAGTTATATATATTTATTTTATATTCAGCTTATTTACTTGATCTTTGATTTTCCACCAGCATTCTGTCAGATGAGCATACCCGGTCAGACCAGCATACCCATAGGCAATACCCGTTTAGTTTATCCCTTTAGTTTTGTAGAAAAAAATAAACTTTATCTACCTCAATGGACATGTATCCCTGTAGTCTTGTACAATAAAACAATTTAATTACTTACTTTTTTGTGTTTTTTTTAAGCGTATTGCAATCTGACCTTAAATTTTTTTTTTTACATGGCTAAAAGGACGCACACCCATGGAGGTAGTTTAAAGCCTATTTTTCCTACAAATGTAAAGGGATTCATATCTTCAGGTAACACAGAGTGTCAGACTTAATAATATTACTTTAGCGATAGTTTCAAGGTGTTGCTTTATTGTATGTCTCGTACCGTGTCTTTCGGTTGTGCTGTTCTTTTTTCATCTGGTTACAGGTGATGAAGCAGACTGAAAATGTTTTGTCATTGTCTTCTTTTTATCTCTTCTTTCTTTCATATTTTCTCTTTTTTTTAAATCTTTTTTCCTTTTTTTTCCTTCTGTTTTTCTGCTCTATTTACATTGCAGTTCAATATAAACTGTAAAACTCCCTGCATAATTATAATAAAGAAATTTATATGCATGAAACAAGTGGAGCAATATGGCAATTGCCGTACTGCTACACTTGTGAAAGTAAAATCTGTTGGGCTCTTTTTGGCATCAAGACAATTATTCTTATTGCCACTTTGCCGGACAGGACACTGTAAAAAAAGAAGAAAAAAAAAGAAAATACCCAGCAGTTTACCTGGTCAAAAAAAAGAAAAGAAAAAAAAAAGTAAAGTAAAGGGATAAAAGCAAATCTGACATCTTGCAAATGTGTATTGGCTATGGGTATGCTTGTATAACGAGGTATGCTCATCTGAAAGAACACCGGCTTTGCTAAACCTGCACTTGCTGTGAAATCCAAACAAACAACTGTTTTTCTATTTTTTTAAGACTCAGGACTTCTTGAAACAATCAAATGGAGTAAAGGTACCTATTAGGACTGCAACTAAAGATTATTTAGCAAATTGATTAATCTGTCAATGATTTTTTCGATTAATTGATTAATAATCGGACAGCCAGAGGTTCCTTAAAGAAGATTTTCTTTACGAAATTAAACCAGGTGAAACTAAAACTTTTTCACTTAACGAGTTCTGGATAGAGCATATTGACAGATGAAAAACTTTTTATCTTAAATGCAAAATGTTTACATATATTTTTTACAATTTTGATATAGTTACTGCTCTAAGTGGGTGGCTCTGTCAGCTAAAGGCATATTTTAGGGTCTATGCTCCAGTTAACAATTAATCGATTACTAAATTAGTTGTTGATTATTTCAATAATCCATTAATTGCTTCAGCCCTAGTACCTAGACTCCTAAAAAGTGCTTTTAACCCTTTAAAGCCCGATCCAAGAATAAAACAAAACAGAAAATAACTTTTTTTTGGTTTGAATTCCTTATTTGGCCTTTTAACAAAATATGTAAAAAGAAAAAACAGAAATACATTTTGATATTAATAATTCATTACTATAAAATGTTACTGTCATCCTCAGATCTCAATATGCTGTCCCTTAAAAGAGCCTGGGAAACTGATTTGAATCTCTGTTTTACAGAGGAGGAGTGGAATAAAATTCTTGGGAATATGACAAAATTGTCACGAGAACTACGTTCTAGATCGGTCCAATTTAAAATCCTGAACCGCATATACTGGACACCTTCTAGATTGCATAAAGTGGGATTAGCAGACTCTGATGCCTGTTGGAAGTGCCAGCATGATAGTGGCACACTTTTGCACATGTTCTGGGGATGTCCTAAAGTTCAAGTATATTGGTCCTCTGTTCACACTGTTGTGGAGAGGGTTGTTGGTCAGGGCATTCCCTTTACTAGCAAGCTTTATGTACTGGGAGATCCTTCAGTTTTGAATTATTTGCCTTCCTTTCTTGCACAGTGGGTACAGACAGCCATCATGCTGGGGAGAAAACTTTTAGTGAGGGAGTGGAAGGCCCCATCAACACCTACTTTCACCCACTGGCACACCGCACTTGGACAACTGGCAGCATTTGAAAGATTATCATACAGACTGTTAAATAGAGTAGATGATTATAATAACAAATGGGCCCCCTACTTTTCCTACACCTGTCAATGACGTTTCTAGCTCAGATCAACCTTAATCACTATTGTCTGCTGTAACCTTGGAAAAGTGCATTGTTGGCATCTTTACTGTTTCTATTTTATTTTATTTTATGGTTTTGCTTTATATTGTTTGTTCTCAGTGCTTGCATACCCAATTGGTATAATGTGCAACATGGTATACTTTGTATGTTTTATTTTGTTAAAAACTAAATAAAGTTTAAGTCATAAAAAAATAATTCATTACTATGCGATAAGTCAAGATTATTTTTTGTGTAGTCTTCTACTGGCTGTTATCAGGTATATCTGATTGTGTACAATAGGATTTTGAGCAAAGTTTTTACTATTAAATTATGCAAAAGGTGTCAGACGCAAAAGATTTCAGAAACCGTATATATCAAATATGATACATTTGGCATTACAGGGTTAAGAAGCAGCATGTAGCGCAGAATGCTCCAGCACGTCCTCACAGACTTGGAGCTAAAGATCTTGAATTGAAACTTAATACATTTCAATGAAGACGGTCAAAATAGCTGCAGTGGCTCCATATCAAACACTAAACACTGAAAAAAAACCCCAGCAACATTTTGTTCTATGATATATGGAACAGTCAATCTCATAAATGCCTTGAATTTTACAAAAACGGTAAAATAAGTCGATCTATCATGCTTCTTCACTTTAACAAGCATTAATCATATTATTTGACTGGCAGCAGGGCTGATAAAAACGTCTGTTTTGATCACAGCTGGTATCATCAGAGTCACTTACAGTCCTTCAGGGAGAGTGGCGCGCAGTCCACAGATTGGCTCTTGGCGGGGCCTCGGCTCTGAGGGCCCGGCGCAGAGTTGGAGCTTTGGATGCTGCTGCCGAAGCTGGTACCGAGCTGCAGGCGCCTCATGTGTCGGATCACAGCCGTCGCATTAAACGCTTGCTGGACAGAGAGAGAGAGAAAAAAAATAATAATACAAAACAATATGCTTCTTTTTCTGGTAAAAAGTGCTTTTATTGCATGTTTGATAAACTAGATTTAAAGTTTCACATACCCTCCATTTGCTTTTGGCAAAGTTTTTGCGCATCTGCCTGCTGACGGATTCATGTATGTTCTTACGCAGAGCGGTGTCTCCGGCAATCCTGAAGAACAAAGGCAGTCAGAGTTCACTAGCACCATAACATTGTGCACAGATGATTGATCGAAAATTTGTGCGCAGAATCATCCCCGTGTTGTTTCCATATTCCCTCCATGCATTTATTTTCATTCAGCTATAGCACTATTTGAGTGATGGGCTGCTGTTTCTACAGGATTCCTTCTCACATTCATCATCTCTTTATGAAACCCCTTGAATGAAAACCATTTCTCTTAATTATGGCCTCTGTTCCCGCTGTCACGCACCACATTAGGAGGTCCACCTGCCCACGACCCAAAACGCCCGTCGCTTCCTAACAGGTTTACTGCCCCCTCAATGGGAGCTCACACTGCCTCAGTCTCATTAGGACTGATGCAGACCTGGAAATACATCTCTGTTGTTCGTTAAGGCATCAAGATTCACAAGGATCCTTGAGGAGTTAAGCCACTAATTGGCGGGCTTCAATTCAGAAAATTTTCTCCCAGAGAGCTAGAGATGACCGGCTGAGGTAGGCGCGTTGCTGGGAGCCATGATGACAGATGACTGTGGGAGGACAAGCTCTCCCAACACATGCGTAAGCCTGGCAATCTGCGTCACAACGCCATGAATCGGGGTGTGTGTGTCTGTGTGTGTGTGTGTGAGTGGTTTGCAGTGATTGTATTACTACGGCGCAGCGTGGCGGCAGAGTTCCTCACCAGGGGTGCTCAAGAGCCTGGTCGCATGTGAATCTCTTTTCAGGGTCCTTCTCCATTAAGCAGCTGATGAAGTCTTTGGCTGCAGAGAGGAGAAGAAAAAGGTCAAGAGCAGATACAGCTGAGGATGGGTCTCCACCTTCCAGCAGTCAAGGGTTTATATCAACATTGGGATGCTGGAAAAAAAAACCTTAAACTGATAGAAAATGGCCCATTCTGTCACTGGAACCCATAAACTTTAAAATAAACAGAAATAAATGCTTCAAATACTCCGCTCCATGTATTTGCATTTTAGTTTTTGAATCCAATAACTGAAATTATCTAATTCACTGTGTGTAACAGGCTGCAGCGCTCACAGCTCAGAATTTTGCAACATCTAAAAAAGAAAATCTATGGCAGACGGATTTAGTCAGACGTCAGATTATGATTGCAAAATACAAGGTCGATACAGACAGGATGAGAATATTGGAGAGAAACTGATCTATTAAAAAAAATCTGCATTTCAGACCTTTGGAAACTTAAAGATCTGTGATTATTTTTCTTTGTTTTAAGACAAAACAAATATGTTGATTGTGTTTGTTAGATTTGTAGGTGTGTTTTTCTCCCTTTTAAACAACCAAAAAACAGATTAGAATACAATTAGAATCCTAATTATATCGTGTATCTATAATATAAAGAATATAATCAGAATAAAAGTACACAAAAAAAGGTTTTTAAATTGTGCATATTGCAGATTGTGTTTACAGTTTCCTCTAATCTCTAATCCATATCCATTTATGATAATTCCAGGCAGAGATCAGCTGCACTGTGAATCACAGCAGGAAACAGTCATGACTCCTTCTTCTCCAGGACCTGCTGAATCTGAAAAAAAGGCCTCTTGCACTTCAGCCGGGCTGAACAAATATGCAGGAACTACAGCTGCGATTATATTCTGCATTCCATAAATTATTTAGATGATTGACAAACCATTGCATGCATTCATAAAGTGCTGCTGATTAAAACAATTCTCTGGTTAACATTTGCTTAAATTACTTATATTTTTCCTGGTAATGTGTGCTGATAATTGGTGCTTGTCTGATTCTTTTGAATCCTGTTCGGATCTAACTGATCATTAGATGTGCTTTTATTGTCTGAATCACCAGCCAGATTTATAGGTTGTTGGTTGTTTTTATCAACAACTGACGTATTTGCAAGATTTGGTGACTGAAGACGATGACTAAAATGTCAGGATCATAATTAAAAGGATAAACGTCATTGATAAAAACAGGGAGCTTTGTTAGTACATGAAGGGGAACCCTTAACCTTTACAAAAAAAGTCAAGATTTTGTGTCATTTGAAGGAAAAGTGGTGCTACTATAAAGTGGGCTATGATCTGAAGAATAATTATTCATCTGTTTTATAAGTCAGGTATGCTGCTGGTTATTTTTTTTTTCACTTTGCCATTTTGTATTTTTGCAGCTCTGCTTGTTTTTCAGCTAGCTTTTTGCTAAACATTTGCTACCCACAAGGACTCACTTTGTTCCAGCCATATTGATGTTTTCCAACTATTTGTTGAGGGTAAACTAACCGAAAGGGCACCAGAACCAAACTAAATAGTTAAAATCATATAAAATACACCCCACATTTTAATATGTGTAGTAAAATGAACATACAAGGAGACAGATCAAAGACGAAAAGAGATGAAATACAAACACGAGGGCTTAAAACAATGTTCTTTTTTCAAAGTCTTTGTTTTTAATAGATTTTTAACATGCATAGTTTTAATAATTGCTAATTTTAGCTATTTGGTATAGAAAAAAAAAAAAAAAAAAAAAATCTAATAGGAGTTTGCAGAGTCTCTCTTTATTGATTCCTATCTTAGCTGTTATTACATGCGCAGCCACTTAGTGGATTATCAGACAGAGGAGAGCTATCAATATGCAATAACGTGCGGTCTAGGCAGTGGGGTCATGCTTAACAGTGAAAATGCAAATAGATGTAGATTCTTTTTGTAAGGTCAGTAAACTGTTTCAGGTCCTATTTAGAAGTCTGAAGTAAGCTAATATAATTTTAAATCTGAACAAATCAGGATCATCTGTGGATGTCCTCAAGGTTCCATTCTGGAGACACTTTTATTTAATTTGATTTTATGTATACACGTGTTGATTTTATGTATACACATGCATATTTTTATCCTGTGTGGGTAGTGCTTTTATTTTATTTTATTTTATCTTTTTTGTGCAGCCCTTTGGAAACCTTATGTTTATTGAAATCGTGCTATATAAATAAAGTGGATTGGATTGGATTTAACATTTGTGTGATATGTTCTAAACTCAGATGATATCTGTGATTACATATCTATATATGCACAGGGGCAGATTTAGGAAATTTGGGGCTCTAGGCGAAAAAACACAAAACCGACCCATTGTACAGATAAAGTTTTTTTATAGAATAGGCATACGGTACATTATTTGTTCTACCCTTATTTCCTCTCTTCTTATATCTTTTCTTGCCGTTTTCCTCTCTATGTTCTCTTTTGTCGTTTTTCTTTTCATATTGGTAATGTGCTCAGTTGACTTTTCATGCTTCCTCAAAAGGAATCAAAGATTCAAACTTAGCTGATTGCTCCTTCCTGTGTTTCCAAAAAAAGCGACGGCAAAAGTAAATAACCCAGTCTTTCTTTTAACTCTAGACAAGCCATGATCTGCTTATCTGTTCTCCATTTTTCATTTGGATGAAATAATCGCTGCATGAATCATGACAGCAGGCAAGATAGAGGAGAGCAGGAGGCGGGGTTACCAATCTACTTGCTCTGGAGAGCAGAGTTCGCTGCTTTTATATGTTGTTGCCAAAGTCTCCAGTAGGAGTAAAAAGTCACTAGATTTGGCGCTAGGCGCTTTTTTAAAATAAAAGTACTAGAGGGGTCTGAAAAGGCGCTAAATACAGCGACAAAAGTGCTAAGTTGGAAACACTTCTCTTTGCACCGTTTGTTTTCAAATGATTTGCTGCTGCTTGTTTGGACGTTTCTGCACATGCGCAGAAAATGGACTAATCCAATGTGGTGGACGCTGATAAAGGGGCGTCCCGAGACACACTTAATATTATAAGCATTCTGATGGAATTTTAACTAAAGGATTTTTTAAATCAAAAACATAATTAATGTGCACAAATGAGGAATAGTTGTATTAACTATACATGTAAAAGGAGTTTTTTGGGGCTCCCAGGAACTTGGGGCTCTAGGTCACTGCCTAGTTTTGCCTAACAGTAAATCAGCTCCTGTGTATGCTGATGAGATACGAATTTATATTTCTGGACTACCACTTGATGTAAATTACGTAAAAGATGGTTCAGTAAACCCTGCAGTTCAACACAGAAGTCACTGCTTTTTGTTCCACAATGCAAAAAATGTAGACTCAGAAAAGCTGAAAACCATAAAGCAGGCGAAAGACAACAAGACTAATACTAAATCAGTCTACTAACACTGTGAGAATACCTCCAGCTAATGCATACATTTATTTTAGGGGGTTAGGACATTGTAATACTTTCTGCAGTAAATAAATAACACAGGTGGTTGCAGCTCATCCAATATTTCATGATCAAAACCAGGAAAATGGATCATTTTAAACCAGTGATTAAATTTTTGCATTCATATACGGTAATTAGAAACCCCTTTATTTGTCATTAAAATGAGCAGATATAAAGAGGCAGAGGCAGTGTGCAGCGTTCTGAAGTCCAGCCCAAATCCTAATAATGCTGAATCCTTTCAATTATAAAAACAACTTTAGATAATAGTATAAAACAGATAAATTCAGGTTTTCTACAAAGCGAAAATATTATTTATATAAATTCCACCTTCTCTGTGGTTTCATGTTTTTTTATGTTGCATTTTGATTTAATCTTTCCTTTTATTAGAAGCTCAATATTCTCTTCTTTGATGCATGTCTGGTTTTAATTAGATTTTCTTATCTCTCTTGCTTATTTCAACATGAGACACTTTAAATTGCCTTGTGTCTTTCATATCATGCAGGCGAGCTGCTCAAAGAGAAGTTTTGTCCTCTTTTAAGTCAATGATTTACACCCTTTGAATGCATTATTTTGGCTTCACTCAAGGGATCTCTTTTCCTTTTTTAACTAAGGTTAGCTAAAAGAAGCGGAAGAACCCCACTGAGCCTGGTTCTTCTGGAGGTTTCTTCCTGTTAAAAGGGAGTTTTTCCTCTCCACTGTCGCTACAAGAATGCTTAGTGTGAGGGATTTCCTTCCAGTCAATGAGTCGATGCAATCAACTGGTTTTCCTTAGATAGAAAACTTTGAATCAATTTGACTGGATGATCTGGTTGAACTGGAAAGTGCCTTGAGATGACATGTGCTATATAAATAAATTGAATAGAATAAAAAATTAAATCCTTTTTTTGTTGCTGAAGAATATCAGTGTTTTCCAAAAAGATGGAGTTATACAAGCTAAAGGTGTTTTATATATATAGAGAGAGAGATGGAGGGATGGATGGATGGATGGATGGATGGATGGATGGATGGATGGATGGATGGATGGAAAGAAAGATGGAAAGAAAGATGGAAAGAAAGATGGAAAGGAAGATGGATGGAAAGAAGATAGATAGATAGATAGATAGATAGATAGATAGATAGATAGATAGATAGATTCTACTGTAAAGTCTGCTAAATGCAGCTGCTGATTCGTGTCCACTTTTAAATAGCTTGCTTGTTGTTTCAACACCAAATGTGGAATAGAGACATATTGCAGCACTAAGTTACCATGGTAGCTGTTGAACTGTGTCCCCTCATTATTTCCCTTTTTTGCCTTGTTACACAGCTTTAAAATCAAGGTTGTTAACTTGAGCAGAGTTATGCAACCACAGATTCTTTGTTCACCCTTTATTTCAGACACAGCGGAATAATAAACAAGCACAAAGTCAGCTCACCAGAGTCTGAGATGTCATCCCAGTACGGCGCGTCAAACTCATAATCTGCCTTGAGAATTTGCTCAAACAGCTTCGAATCGTTCTCGTCGTAGAACGGAGGATAGCCACAGAGCCTGGGGAGAACACAACGGTGGGCATGAGGGGTTATTATCCGGCTGATGTTAGATTCTTCAACCTGAATCTGAAACGTTCTGCTGGGCCCTAATCTCATTTACTGGGAGTTGGATTATTCCTTTTTTTATGTATTTAGTGAAACAGAAGATGTCTCACAGGGATTATGAAAAAAGATCAATCGATGGTTTATATATAAACCTTGGATTTTAGCTTGAGCTTAATGTAATATGGTTCATTTTGTTTTTGTTCTATGAAAATAAAACAATTTTCTACAAACAGATGGGGAAAAAGTATGCAACATAGTTTGCAATTTGGGAAAATGTTGTCTTTCATTGCTTCATAAGAAAAACTAATAAATACTAAACAAAGAGTAATAGGAGTTAATTACCAGTACTCACAAAATATAAGCAATGACCCCAATGGACCAGCAGTCCACAGCTTTACTGTAGGGTTTCTGTGCCAGAACCTCAGGAGCTGAAACAATCAAACATTTTATTGATTAGAAATACTATTACCTACACAGAGGAGCCATTTCCAGAAAAAAACAGAGGCTGATGAAAAATGTGAGGACAGTTTCTGGTGTTACCCTCTGACCACAGGTAGATGATTAAACTGACTTCAGTTCAGGCAAACCAGTCATGTGCGAAAAAGATCAATTTCAGTCGAACTCATAAATATGAGGGCTGCATCCTTATGAGACATACCTGAAGCTAAGGACACAATCCTCATATTTCTATGCTGAACAGAGGTCCTCTCTCTCAGGGAACATTGGCTACATTACAAAATGAAAACCACAAACTTCAATATGTTTTATTGTTTTTTGTGACAGACCAACAAAATAATTGATAATACTAATAAAAATAATTGTGACATAGAAGAAAATGCATATAACAGTGCATTTAGCCTCCTAGAGTTATGCCTTATAATGCTTAATTTTCTTGTAATGTGTTTTACTGAAATGCATTTTTTTCCTTTGGAAATGTTATAAATCTAAGATTTTGAAACTTGTTTTTTTAATGTCTCAATTATCATTTGACTCAGCTGTTTTCTGCTCTTATTTTCCAGACACCAAATCTCTCTTAGATAAGAACGATTGTGTGCCTGGTAATGCTCCTGCAGCAGGTGTCACAGTGAGCTTGATGCAGACATTTTTGATTTATCCTTAATATTGAAGCGTGGTCTGCGCTACACACTGTGGGTCTAGATACGGCCAAGGCAATGAGGAAGTGGGGGCGAGTAGTCCGACAACGGAGGGACATGACGGCGAAAAAGAGCAAAGATCCAGTTGGAAAAAAGGGTCCCCGCATTCTGGCGCACTTCGCTCTTCTAGCTCGAGTTGTTTTCTGCAATTTCCGTTATAAAAAACAAAACAAGCCGACCTCCTGTCTGCGGCACTGTCTGCGCTAAGGATGGGACTTCCCATGCTAATGGCTTGGATTTATTAGCAAACACTGCCCCCTGTGGTACTTGTATGTTACTATCACAAGTTGTTGAGGACTTCCCAGGAACATCGTAGGTTCTTATTATAGCCCCGGCCTGTATAAGAGTCCGGCCATTATTTACCTCCGCCGACAGCCACACAGGCCATTATTAGAGACCCGGCTGCTAATGGAATACAGGCCAATATTAGAGGATTTACGGTAGTTTGTTGCTTGAGGACCAAATCTTTCAACCTCAGTCTCATCTAATCAGGGACATAGTTGGTGTGTCGCACATGGCTTCTAGTGCATTGAAAATTAGACTTTTTTTTTTTTTTTCTGGGCAGGTCCCCTTTCCGTGGAGAGCAGAAGTAATAGTTGTCCTGTGAACAGATCCTGAAGCCTCAGCTGTGAAGCTCTGCAGCTTCCTCTGAGTTAGCATGAGCCTCTGGCTGCAACTTTACAGAAACAACCATGTTTAGGTGGAATTGCAATAGTGGTATGCTACATTTATTGTCAGAAAATAGATAGATGAGGATTATGTGACATATTTAAAGCTTGTTTTTTATACATAGAATCTTTTTTAAACTTGGCTTTACTCTTATTATAGAATAGAAAAAAATACAATAGAATAGAGAATACATTTATTGTCCAACAATGGGGAAATATGTCTGCCGTGTTCCTTAAGTTTCCTGAAGCTACTTGTTAATAAAGGTCTCTAGTAAAGTTACAGTAAGATGAACTCTAAAAATCAAGTGATCTAATAATAAAACGGGCTGTTCTGGATTTTATTTAAGGGTATCAGGCAAAATGGAGTGAACTACAGACGGATGAAAAACTTTCTTTTCTTTTTCTTTCAATCAAATCTAAAAAAATATGTGTATTTTCATTTATTTATTGTTTCTTATAAAAAAAACTGATTTTTTTGTGTTGGTCTATCACAAACAAATAAAAACAAACAGGAAACAGTCATTGGGGTGTAGCTAAAAAGGGCCACCTTACCGACGTATCCAGGGGTCCCACAGGCTGTGGCCATGACGCCACCCGTGCCCTCCATCTTTGACAGCCCAAAGTCACTGATCATGATCTTTGAATCATCATGAGGACTAAAGTAGAGCAAGTTCTCAGGCTGAAAATACAAACAGGAAACAGCAAGAAGATCAACAAGTTGTTTTCCCCTCGCCTGAAATCCTCAGAGCTAAGAAGTCAGACGGATTTGCTTTTTTAAATTGGTCTTTTAAAGAGCTTTCACGGCTCAGTAGAGACCCTTCTACAATGTACTAAGAAGCAAAATCCCCTGACACTTAACCCCCATGGGTGAACACAGCAACATGTGATTTAAATGCCAGGGATTTCCCCTTTTAGCTAGTGAAAAAAAACCTCAGAGCCAAATATAAAATGCTGCAGTACCTTCAGGTCCCGGTGCACTATGCCCATGGAGTGGAGATAGTTGACGGCGTCCAAAACCTGCCGGATGAGGCGGCTGGCATCCATCTCTGTGTAGAAGCCCTTTTCTACAATCCGGTCAAACAGCTCCCCACCAGACACCCTGTCAGCACAAAGAGCAACCTGCCTTTCATCACTCACATATTAGTGCATGTATTCAGCCTTTTTAGAGAGAAACAACCCAAAATAGAACAATACCTACAATATATGCAATATTTTTATTCCAACGTAAGAAAATTATCCAACAGTTTACATTTATAGAAATATTTTATTCTAAAAAGCGGGTCTGGTGTTTTTTTAGGATCAGCCTGGTTATGTCCATAGAACCAAAGAATGAGAAGTTAATCCTCCACATTCTATTTCATAAATTAGTTTTGTACAAAATAGTGATATAAAGCAAAGTCCTAGAGCAGCGGTAACCAATTAAAAATCTGTGAGATCAGAATATAGGAAATTAACAATCAGTAAAGGTGCGGAGATATTTTTCATGATAATCTGAAATAAAATGAGGTGTTTATGCATCAATGATATACACTGAATTTTAAATAAAAAAAATATATATATATAAAAAAAGAATTTTTTTCCATTTTAAAATCTAAAACGTTTTTTTTTAAGTAGACAACAATTGTTCAGTTTGGTATATAGACAATTTCCTGATATTTTATAGAACACCTGAACTGACTGTTCATTTCTTTTCTTTCTTTTTTCTGTCTTAATGTTCGCAGTGGGCTTTAGGCTGCCGTGCATGGCTTTAAACCTGGGTTTGAATGGAGACTAAGCCATTCTCAAGGTGCTCATTTTGAGCCTGGATCCAAATTTATTTTTTATTCTGTTCATGTTGGAGAATCCTGCTTCACATCAGCAGGTTGAGCCAAACATACTAAAAATGTGCAGGGTCATCTTTGAGAACGCCATTTCACTTTTCTTTCACCAGTTCACCGCAGTTCTCCCATCAGTCCACACTTTCTCTGCTCTCTTTTTTTCATTGCCTTCTCCTTCTTTCCCATTGCCCGGCTTGCCACAGGTTTGCCTGCTGTGTCTAACAGCAGCAAACAAGACAGAAACATCTCATTGGCTAATTTGTAGCCTGGAGCCGGACACTCTGGAGGGCTTTACCGTATAAACAGGAGAAGCAGCGCAAGTGAATTTAGACACCGCCGTTGGACAAACTGCAGTAATTTCTAACTTTTTAAAATCAGGTTGGGTCCGGATTAGCCAGCAGGTGTGTCCGGATCCGGGCAGCTAATTTGTGACCTCTGTCCTAGAGCCTCAGCATGATGGTAGCATCACCATGTTTTACAGGTGGGATAGTGTTGGTAGGTTAGGAAACCTTGTGACAACGTGGGTTTGTCTCCTACGATCTCATCTTTTCTGCAGAAAGCGGCTGGCCTATCCGTGTGCTCACTTGCAGATTATCGATCATGCTTGAGTTCATCACTTAGAACAGGAGACGCCTTCCTGCTCATTCTACACTTGAGAGTTTCTGGGTTATAGTTAAACAGTAAGACCGATGCTCTTTTACCTACATTTTAATCAGGTCGGTTGAGCTCAATGGAACTCTTAAGACGGGTCCAACCGGACTATAATCTCTAACAAACAACAAAGCTGGTTTTGCAACAGAGAAAGTAGGATAAGATTGAGCTTCTTAAATGGCACTGGCTTCAGCGTGAGTATTAAATGCCCCATATGTACCTGGAAAATTAGTGATTTAAATCAACTCCATCATTTCTCTGATGAAAAGATATACAGCCAATCAATATACAGTTAAGCTTATTGATGGACAGAAAAAAGGGGTTTGGTTCTCTGAAGCCTGTTAAACTACATTTTACTAAGCTCATGTGAATTTATAAGAGTCTGTATGGATAACTTTGACTATATTTAGTTTTTGGGTCCATTTCTTGTGTTTGAATGTATATTCAGTAGGAGATTTGTATAATTATGCCATCCTGGAGAGAAATGGGCTCAATTGGCTCTTACAAAGCCACATTTAGGTTTCTATGCTCTTTGAAGCTAAAAAGATACCAACAAAATGTAAATAAATTTACCGTAGATGTTTATGCTTTAAAAGTCAAGGACAACGTTCAGGTAAAATTACAGCAGCATTGTTTTGCATGATGGTCTCCTCTCATTTGTTTTTCCTCTTATTTCCATAAGGGAATCATGGAGCACATCACGTGGTTTGACACCTGTGCCATTAATATCCATAAGGGTTCATAACTCATGTTATCTGACCAGTCAGGCATTTAAGCTCCAAAATATTCTGTGTTACTAACAGCAGCGTGTTTTGAAGGTATTTTCTACTGAAGAGGATTAGGACCACTGGAAAAAAAAAGTTTACTGATTTTAAAATTTTATTTCAATTCAGTGTTGGAAAAAAGTCAGAATTCTGAGTTTAATTTCAGAATTCTGACTTCTTTCTCAGAATTCCGACTTTTTTCTCAGAATTCCGACGTTTTTCTCAGAATTCCGACTTTTTTCTCAGAATTCTGACTTTTTTCTCAGAATTCCGACTTTTTTCTCAGAATTCTGACTTTTTTCTCAGAATTTTGATGCCGTTTGTTATCTGTCAGAATTCTGAGAAAAAAGTCGGAATTCTGACTTTTTTCTCATACGAAACTGAAATAAAATGTAAAAATCAGTTAACTTTTTTTCATTTTTTTCAGTGGCCCTAATCCTCTTCCGTAACTTTCTTTAATGATTTTCAGATTTATACCTTAGTGTTACTTTAAATTAATTGTGAAGTGTGGGAAGTTGTATTGTATTTCTTTGTGTTGTATTTTATTTCTTTAGATGATGAATGTGTGCAATATGTTAACAGCATACCTGGAGCGTGTAATGAAGATAATTTTCCCCTGGGATCATTTAAATATTTCTGATTCTGACCTACTAGTTTAAGCTAGTAGGTCAGCCACTTTTTTTATTTGCACAGATCAACGTATTAAAAATTAAAGCTTATAGCATGATTTAAAGATTTGATGAGGTTTGTATTTGATGCAGCCTCATGTAACGGCAGAACCAGGAAAGAAGGTTTGCATGAAGTGGCCATTTAAAGTATCCTTCACATGAATGTGAATACAGTTTTAAAACTCCCAATCTTGAAAGTTGAGGCCAAATCCCCAGATTATTGTAACTTATTGTAGGAATATTAATCCTCGTAGATCCAGAATTTGAGTCTATTCCACAATTATGGTCATAAATAAGGCAATATTTTGTAAATGCATCATTTTTTTTATTATTTGTTTGAAAATAGGATAGTGCACATTGTGAAGTTTTGTATTTAGTCCATTTATACGAAAAAATACAGTTACTAAAAAGACATAAAAAGGAAAGTTAATTAGGATTTTTAGAATTATTTCTACTCACCGAATATCAGAATCATAAGAAAGATTATTTATTGCAGATTTTTACAAACAAACCATTTGGGATAAAATAGTGACGTAAAGGCACTCTGATTAACCAATAAAAGTGGGATATATTAGAGGCATGCCTGTGATTATTTTTTAAGACAATATTCTTTTGAATGACATCATGGAAAATATTAAAAACACATTAAGGTAATATATCAGAAGCACAACTGTGAACATACACAAGTCTGGGTACAATTTCCAGATACCAGAAGGAGCCGCGTTCAGCTGCTCAACTGATGATATGCAGGTATAAAGAGAACATGAGCAGCCATCATAGTGTTCAGGAAGACAGGTGCTGCTGAGAATCCAGTCAACCTCAGAACAATGAAAGAGTATCAGTGATGGCAGACGGGTCGACTAAGAGAGCCAGAGGCCATTCCTCCATATGCAGTCTAACTATCCTTCTTACAGTTGTTATAATATTATTCTAAAGGGGGTCTGTGATGAAAGAAAAAAATCCATTATTATGCTAATCAAAAGTTTCTATCAGCATCAAGATGCTGACTCTGTGACATAGAATAACATCATGCAGAGCTCTGCAGCATTCGGCTCTGATGAGGCAGCCGTTCCGAACTCCTTCAATCTGCAATTAGAAAAGGCATGGGCATAACAAGTGACTCATTAAGTTTAGCACCAAGTGCAAGTACGCTGCTGCTTTCAGCGCTGACTGGCAATCAGTGTTTATTTGAGAATGGGTGGAAGGCAACATTAGGCAGCTTTCCGAGATAAAGAGAGGGCAGGTGGCATTAGGCCAAACCACAGAGGCATTAGTCACAAACACTGTCAAACAATGTAGGGAAGAGAAAAGAGCTTGAATATCGAGAAGAAATTTATCTTAGAAAGAAAATCCCTTTTTAAACTAAAGTGTTGCCAAGTAGGAGAGAATAACAGCTTACAATATTTTTTGGGGGATGCACAGTAAAAGTGACAATAATCAGCACCAGAAAAACCTGAATCTGAAGTTGTAACACTGAAAAGAAAACTAATAAAAGTAAAAGAGAAACATGATAAACCTTTCAAAATACAATGATATAGCACATAATGAAAATATTGTGTTTCGATATGTTGTGCTACGGAGCCCCTAAAGGGACATGGAGGGGAAAAAAAGAACTTTTGCGAGATCCCGCAATACTTTTGTGAGATCCTGCAAAAGTTTTGCCAGATCTCGCAAAAGTTGTGCGGGATCTCGCAAAAGTTTATTTTTTGCGAGATCTTGAATACTTTTGCGAGATCCTGCAATACTTTTGCGAGATCCTGCAATAGTTTTGCTAGATCTCGCAAAAGTATTGCGAGATCCTGCAAAAGTAAATTTTTTTCGAGATCTCGCAATACCTTTGCGAGATCCCGCAATACTTTTGCGAGATCCTGCAATAGTTTTGTTAGATCTCACAAAAGTATTGCGAGATCCTGCAATAGTTTTGCGAGATCTCGCAATACTTTTGTGAGATCCTGCAAAAGTTTTGCTAGATCTCGCAAAAGTTGTGCGGGATCTCGCAAAACTTTATTTTTTGCGAGATTTTGAATACTTTTGCGAGATCCCGCAATACTTTTGCGAGATCCTGCAATACTTTTGCGAGATCCCGCAATACTTTTGCGAGATCCTGCAATACTTTTGCGAGATCCTGCAATAGTTTTGTTAGATCTCACAAAAGTATTGCGAGATCCTGCAATAGTTTTGCGAGATCTCGCAATACTT